CTGCAGTTCGCGCATTTTGTCGGCTTGTTCATGAGAAAATCATAGTTTTATATATAGTCTAATAAGTATATTTGACTCTCACTAGCTATATCTTTTTCAACCCGCATGGTGGATGTCTTAGTAAGAACATATTAAATATATAGAGGACATGTTTATTAGTTCGTGATAGGCGACCGAATGATCTATAGAGGTATACCTCTACCTGCAGCTCACGATAGGGAAGCTGTCCTTGTGACCACTTATCTCCTGACTTGTAAGATTAAACTTAATTCTGTGCCTTTCATCTGTTTATCGTAACCTATGCGAGTGTCCAGCGGATACCCTCCATTCATGATGTGAGGGTGTTTGTGATACAAATAAAATAGACAGATACGAGCGGAGCCTGTCTCTGATTTCGATTATTCAAAAAAATTAAAGTATTATCTTAAGACAAAATTTAAACTCAATGAAATGGGCATTTATATTTTTCATCCACTTATCTGTGTGGCAAACTTTCCGTATTTGGTCGCATGTTGCTGCACACTTTATTGTTCAGCAATTTTCCGTCCTGCGTCTCCATATACGAAGCACCCGTGCTTCTTCGGTGTGCGCTGTGACTTCTGGACTTATCTTTCATTATTTACACCCTTTCTTCAGGTTTGACAGGATTTTATACAGACGTTATTTAGTGTCCGTGAATACTGAAATGAGATTGAATTATTATTAAAAATGTGTGGCTTCGGTTGATTGCCGTTTTCATTGGCTCGAATAGGGCTGGAATCTACTGAATCTCTTTAGCCTTATTTAACTACCTTCTGGAACTCGCTCCATTAGTTATGCATATTTCGAAAAGCCCTACCATATGTCTTGGAACAGCCTCCTGCTTTCATTCACATTCTCCGAGGATTATTTTCAGGCGTCTTATCCACCTTAGGGGGCAAGAATTCGTTACACCAGTATCCGGAGGTTGTCTTAACTAATTTTGGACTCCGGTCTGCTTTTCGCGTCTGCGTACACCAAAAGTAGAGGATTTCCTTGTTCTAAGAACTTTATTCGAGCTGCTCCACAATGCTTTTCTTCTTTGGTGTGGGAGTACCGCCAATTAATTGATCTTGTCAGAGCTGTTCGCTACCATTATAAATATTCTATTATATTTTCGGGAATTCATTCTCATGCGTTCAATAGTAGTTGTTTCGGCTGAGATAACTGCTAACTTAATCGGCTCAACAGTCCAGAACATAAGTTTCGAATGTCCGCAAAGTGGCAATAACGGAGAAACCTCACTAAATGGTAAATAAAATTAGCCATGTCGTATTACTGCCTTGAATGGCGAATTTCTTTTACAAGTAAATGATTTGTCAGTTCAAAGTCAAACCACGCATAAAACAGAAACTGAACTGATGTCGCTCTTATCCTGATGTCAGGAAAAGGCGAAGGATTGCTATTCACGAGGAATCGTTGGCATAGAGCTTGAATAATAAACTTCTCAAATTCGACTAAATCACTCCCACCCTTACAAAAAGCAGTCGAAGAAGAAATCAGCGAGACGTTTGGCCTGGTTGAAGATTTTTTATTAAACGCTTATCGCTTTGGCAAACCCCCTGAACGCGACCAGCAGTTCTAGCGATCCAGTTTGTTAGGCCATTTATCAGAATCGACTGTGGCTGATCCTGCCATAGGGGAAAATCCAATTATTTAGAACCCAAGCGAAAAAAGCGCTTTCTCTGTTGTCACCTTTGACATACGTCAGGTCTGTGTTTGCCTCCTCTCAAATTCCGACTTTATGTGTTCTCTTAGATCCCTCAGGCGTTTCTAAGACTTCGGCTATTTCTCTTCGCTCTTAAACGAGATATCTGATTGGAGCACCATTGTTTGTTGTCGCAGATTTTTACGCTCTCCTGGACACTACGCTATAAAATGGAGCTTATTCTAATAACGCGGTTGAGGTGCACGAGATGCATATTCTTCGGGATAATGAGACTCTCCAACGTAAGCTTATACAGCTCAAGTTGTCCGCTCTATGAGTTCTGGCAAACAATAATCTGGTGCGCTAGCTGTCGATGTTTGGTTGTCAGAGGCTGATAATGATAAGTAACCCGGAGATGATCCACGTAGTGTCTTCATCTTTGTCGGTCAAACTGATCAATTACACTCTCAGTAAGCATTTATATAGGTTGAATTTCTCGGCAGATTTTGCATGCGGGATTCTCTAGTCCTCAGCTCGGCTGTGCAAGGGTCTCCAGCCTGCTCAGAACTGTCATTTCACAGTGCCCTTATAGGACTTCGTGCCTTTCATAGGCCAGTCTCAGTCGGACTTCATCCTTCCCCATTCTTGTGCTGGCTTGTCAATTACCGCTCACAGATGGTCGTAGACAGTCCAGCCAATCCTCTCATCCCGCGGTCGTTGTGTCCCTTAGCCCTGTTTGACATGCCAAACCTGACATCTGTCTGTGACTGCTCATCTTCTATTCGATTAGTAGACACCCCAGTTTGCTGTGATCAGGGGATGTTAATCAGCTAGTACTCTACAGATGATAAAGCACTGCGGCGTCTAGTCCCGAGCCGAAGCGCGCAAAATAAGTGAAAAATCAACAGACTTTTATGATAATTATCCAGATAACTCATCGTACGACTGGAACTTTTACCCAACCCTATTTTTTCCATGATTTCGTCTACCGTAAAAGATTTAATACTTTCGGTTGTTCGTTTGAGATTGCAGTACCACACTTCACGCAGTGACTAAATTATAACAAACCTAGTTTCTACCCATCTACTGCCTCCACGGGGCTCATTCAGGTCATTTTTTTCCGGACACCCACCATTTTTTGGAACATCTTTATCGTCCCATAAGCGACACTTATTGGTCGATTAACTTTGGCCACAAAGATTCGATTCATATCCTGCTGTCAGCCACCTTCCGTATACCTGTTCATTTCCTATCTTATATGAAAATATACATTTACATATACATTTTACTTGCTTTATGCTGTCTAGCCTGGTGAAACAATTTGTCAGCAAGGCGACATGAATGATGAGACCGAGAGCCCGTCTGGGGAAGTGGAGCAACCGCCAGACAAAAAGCCCATAAAATATCCTTCTTACCGGTGAGTTTTGCATGCTACCTGCAGAATTTTTTTTGTTTTTCCCGACTCATTAAATTAAAAAAAACAACTTAAACTTATTTTTTAGGTATGCAATCTTTCTCACATCGTTTCCACGCCTGAGCCTATTCTTTGCCGGTCTTTTTCTCATCACTTCGTTGGGCATCTCTCTCATCTTCTCAGAGATTCCTGTTTTTGATGATCCGGCCAAGGTACCACCGGTCCTAATTCGTGTTTATCTTTAACCTATTACACTGAGCACAAATAGCCCTATACATATATACAAAAGGAAGCTACTGACAACGACAAAATCTTATTAGCTGTCATCAGCCAACAATACTCAATCCCTGGGGTTGAAACTCGTGTTCTAGTAGTCATAAGTCCAACGTTCAAACCACGGGCTACGGGATCGTTGTTCTGTCGGTTGTGATAGGACAGATTAACTATGGTAGAGGAGAGGGGGACGATCACCGACAGTATTACGGGACCTACTCCCCCGTCGTGCCTTGTGGCTAGACCTATATCCCCGTAGTTTGTCACATAGCGATTAAAGTAGTTGTATATATCCTGCAGGAGTCTTGCCTTTATCAAATTTCGACATATTTAACTCTTTATTTACCTGGATTTCACTAACCAGAAATCAGCACAAGGAACTTTGGAGAGCGACTGGACAGGCGAACGCTCTCACAGTTGCATTGTGCAGCACCGAAAACCACGTCGAAACACGTACGGGCGCACGGTCAAACCATCAACACACAAAACTTACCTTACCCTAACCGTGTTAAGAAAAAAAAAACAAAATTTAAGCTGTCCACTGTTAACATGTGTATACACTTTTTGTTACATTCTGTGTAAATTTGTGCATATACTCGTATTTTATGTCTATACGTGTTCGTATCTTAGCCCCTCTTGTTGTTTCTGAGCCGCGCCTAATGCACTTCAGTTCGAGTTAAACAGTGATCAGTGATTCAATGATAGGTCCTCTATCGTTTGCAGTGAAGTGGACTTCAATTCGCATCCATCTTACGTAATCATTTACCATATTGGCAACATAAGTACTAGCTAAAAGGCCCCGACACATGTTTCGCCGATGTTCTTCTGCTGCATGGCACAGCCGCGATGGATTCAGCTTACCAGTTGCTCTCCCCTGGCGTCCCCTGTGCACTAAGGACTGCTTGTTGGCAGCCTGTGAATATTACAAAGTTATCCCGGTTTCTATTTTGGAATGTTTATTTTTGCTTAAACTGCCCTTCTATCTTTTTGTTTCAAGTACACACATACTGGCATTTACTTCCTTCGGGAGCTTCAAGTTGTTTGAACTCCTTTATTTTTATTTAAATGGTTGTTTAAGGGTCCAGACTAGGGGAGTTGCTGCGCTCCATTTTTGCGATGTCTGTTCGGATATAATTAATTCTCTGAATAGACTTTTGCACTTATTCGGGTCTGTCAGATCGAATCCTAAGTCTAAGGGCTGTAATTTACTAGTCCTGTCATCTTTCCAAAGGTCATTGGGCTATAGGAAAGTGTCAGAAAAGCAGTGGCAGATATGAGGAAGTCTGCATGTCCAGACTGGGAAGATTTCTCACCCCCTTTTACGCGATTGTCGCTTCGATGCACCTCAGGACTTAAAGGTCAAACCAAATGCCAACGAATGTACCTCAGTACTCATGCAAATTTTCCAACGGTTGGGGTACTCTGGGATTGTATTCTACGATTCTAGAACCTGTGGCCGGTCGCTTAGAGCCTCTGATGTGGAGAGGAAGAGGAGAGCCCTTCGTGAGAAAGCGATCTGCATCTCCTATGTTTGTGTACCACCCGATTTGTCGAGGAAGCCAAGACAACGAGTCCTTGGTCCGACA